CTGGAATAGAAACAGCTTCTTTAAGAAAAAAGAAGAGGTAAGTCCCTATCCCAAAAATGCAAGTATCACGTTCTAGGGAGGATGAAGGCTTTTTTCAGCTTCACTGAGATACAATTGATATATAATAACACTGTGTAAGTTTAAGGCGTATGACTCGATGATATGATATTGTGAAATGATTGCCACAATCAGGTTGGTTAACAGATCCATCGCCTCATTTAGGTACCTGAACACTGAAGATCTACTCTCTCAGTAACTGTCAAGCATGCAGTACAGTCCTGTTACCTGCAGCCACCTTGCTCTATGTTAGATCCCCATACTTCACTCACCTTATAACTGGACGTTCCCAACCCTTGACTGGCATCTCTCTATTTCCCCCACCCGGAGCCCCTGACAACCATTTTTGTTGCAAAGAATTTGACTCTTTTAGCTTCCACACATCAGTGAAACCACACAGTATTTATCTTTGTCTGTCTGAGTTACTGCACTTAGCATCATGCCCTCAAGTTACACTGATGTTGTAACAAATGAGAGGATTTCCTTCTTTTACGGCTGAGTAATATTCCACTGAATGCATATATGTACGTATATATCTCACATTTTTTTTATCCATTCACCCATCATCACACTTGGGTTGTTTCCACATCTTGGCTATTGTGCATAATGCTGCCATGAACGCTAGGATTTACAGATGTATTTATCTCATCCCAGGGATAAATCCCACCTGATCAGTAAGTGATCCTTTTAATGTGCTGTTAAATTCAGTTTGCCAGTACCGTGTTGAGAATTTCTGCATCTGTGTTCATCAGGGATGTTGGTCTGTTGTGTCGTTATCTGGCTTTGTTATCAGAGTGGCGCTAGCCTCATAAAACGAGTTTAAGAGTGTCCCTTTTCTTTAACTTTTGGAAGAGTTTGAATAAGGATTAGCATTAATTCTTCTCAAAATCTTTGGTAGAATTCACCAGCAAAACCCTCTGGCCCTGGGCTTTTCTTGGTTGGGAAGTTTTTGATTACTGATTCAGGTTGTTATTGACCTGTTCAGATTTTCTGTTTCTTCGTGACTTAGTCTTGGTGTGTTGTATGTTTCTAGGAATTTATCCATTTCTTCTGGGCTTTCCTGTTCGGGGGCACTTAATTGTCTATAGCGATCTCTTTTGATCTTCATTTCAGATAAGGGACTCTTTTTGTCCTTGGGGGACTCTTTCATTCAGTAAGCGCCCTGCCTCCCACCTTTATTACAGTGGGCTCCGAAAGAGAAGCTATGCAAACAGCATCCCAGTACCTAAAACCGTCCCGCGGACATCCGCGTTTACTCGTCTATTGACTGTCTTCTCCTCTGGACTATAAATGCTACGACAGCAGACATCACGTCTATTTTCACCACTGAATCTCCGGCCCCTGGAAGTGTGCTGGGCACAGAACAGGCACTCGTTCTGCGCTGAATCCTCTTGCACTTGCAGTTCCCAAACATGAGCCTGACGGTTGCAATGCCATTTCCTCTGCTGAGAAAGCCCTCCCTTTTTCTCCTGGAAAACTTCTACTCACCCCTCAAGATGCTTTTCAGAGTTGAGTATACCCCCTTCCACCTCCCGTAGCACCTTGAACGTACTGGTAATGATGAACACAACAGTCAAGATTGTTGAGCCGTGCCAATGCACGAAGCATGGGGCTATGCACTTTATATGGAGTAACTCAGTTAATCTGTACCATGCAAGTGGACCTATGAATACCTTCCATTTTACAGATTAAGAAACTGAGACTCAGAGAAGTTAAACCACATGCCCAGGACCACAGATATACTAAGTGATATAAGCAGGATTTGAACCTACAGATGAGGCTCTGGTACCCAAAGTTACCCACAGAAGTAACTGGACTTCCATACCACCAATCGCCATGGCCAGTACAGTACTATGGGGGTAACCACTGGTTCATCTTCCTGCGCCCCCTACACAACAGGAAGCTCCTTGCAGGCAGGGGTCTTGCGTTACTCCTCTCTGCACCTTTTTTGCAGGACAGGGCCTGGGACCCATGAGATAATTAATGTTCCTGGAGTAACTGATTTTTTATGATGCTCACATCTCCTTGGGATATCTTTTTCCATTTCCAAAACCAATATCGGCTTATAACTGAACCCAAACCAAAAACGTCCAACAGGCAGACATTTATAACCATAGGAGCACAAAGTTCTCAAAGCTGTTTGCCATTTCTGATCTCATCCAAGGACGTCAAACACTGGGAATGTAAATTAACTCTAGATTGAAGTTAGAGGAGAAGTCACTGGACTGAGAATGACAAACAAGCGAAAACAACAAGAAGAATATAATCTGTCCCCAAGCACAGCATCCAAAATCAGACAGGAAAGGATTAAGTTTACAGTTGAGTTACCTGCCCAGAATTTCAGCCCCTGGCTGAATGGAAAGAAGAAACCAGGCTATTTACTCCTAAATGTTTTTTAAAGACCAGAATTTCACCCTATAAAGTATGGCAAGAAAAGATAACAAGTTGATTTTCCACTCTGGTAACTGAATTTGGAAGGAGAGAACCATTTATTTTTATCGGTTTCTCATTTGCTTACGACGGTGCTTTTGAAGTTGATGGTAGGAGCTCATAAATTCCCAGTCACGAGGCGGCACACCTCCCTAGTCACCACCCAACACCATGTGAAAATTACGATGATTCTGTTCTGCAGAATTGATATCACCTTGCCTCTGGAGAGCTCTAGGCAGTATTCAAATTTCATTTAAACACCAAATTAAAATTTTAACTATAAAAAATAAGGGGATCAACAAGAGAGAATCATATTATAATACTATATTAGTAAAAATATGGCTGGGAGAAGGAAGTGGATTTTCCATATTGCCATTATGCTAAATACAACGTTATTTCCATTAGAGCCACAGGAAGCATATGGCCCATTTAGCATCAATCTTCATCAGGGCTCTGATCCCTCACTAACATTTATTAAGGCCCCATGGATACCGGCCACTCTCCAAGTCAAGTCACTAGAGAGTAAATTCCTGTACAAGTTTTCCTAACGGTGACTAATGCAGACCTACAATTTCCTATTTTCCAAAAGATATTTTCAATGAGAATAGAAAAAGGCATCTGGCCAAGTTGAGAAGAGGCCGGCCATCAACTCGATTCTTTGCTTTTCATCTAGATGCTTACGGGGCCAGAGCTGTGTCGGGCCACCCTGCTAGAGAGGGGTCTCCTCTTCTCTCTGAAGACCCTCCACTTCTCCCCCTTCCTCCCGCCCTTCTCTCCCTTCCCAAATACAGAAGCCATAGAACTATTTCAAGCTATTGAGGCTTTTAGAGCAATATTGGGAAAGACTGAAGGACACATTTAAAGGAGAACTTAGTCTCCCGACTGATTTATGTAAAATAATAAATGGTGCCACTTGGCTGTTTATAGAGTTAGAGATAAAATTAGATTCTAGACAGTCCTTCCTTGTGTACATGGGGTAACTCTGATGGATTACTGCCTTCATATGACTTAGGGTAATAGCCGCTCGTGGAAATTTACAAGGGGTTCCTTGAGAACACATTTCACAGCCACATCCAATAATTCAGAAGGATATTTTGGGTCCCCCAAATGACTCAAATTTAATTTGGGAACAATACTTGAAAAGAGTAAACTGATAAAAAAGTATCAAGTAGTTAACAATCTTGAAAAGTTGCTTCCCTCTCCAAGGATAAACAGAATGATTTCTACCCTATTTCTCCCTAGGCTCACCTCTACTGACACACTCTTAGCCTGGCCACCCTTAAAAAAAAAAACAAGCAAAAGGGGAGCAAGTAACGACCCTGGGAATTGGATTGGAGAGATGAACATTTCATCAGCTCCAAGAAAGGAGTTTGGGTTTTAGCCGCTAATGCCCTTGACCTTGGCAGCTTTATTTCTTTTAATAAGGGTTTTTAGGTTGGAAATCAGTCCAACCAGAGCGTCAACAGCTACATAAGCTTTAAAGACTTCGTGCCCAGAATGTTAGCTGCCCTCTGGCAATAGTCATCTGTGCTGAATCCACTCATTTACACCCCCAATACTTACGGGCAACTGCTATCTCCTCAGCACTTTGCTAGTTCTGAAGATATAAATGGAGATCAATAGCAGGGTATAGCTCAAGGGGTAGAGCGCATGCTTAGCATGCACAAGGTCCTGGGTTCAATCCCCAGTACCTTCATTAGAATAAATAAACCTAACTACGCCCTCCCCCAATAAAAAGAGGGGGAAATAAGCAGTTCATGCTCAAAGTCAGCCTATAAAGCAGGGTACAAAGTGCTCTTATAGAGGATAAGTAAGGGATAGCTACACTGAGACCTGAACAGAGAGAGCAAGCTTGCCAGGTCTTGGGGTGGAGGTGCGGGATGGACGGTGAATTTCCGACAGAAAGGCAAGAAGATTTACATGGCTGAACTGTAAAGTGGAAGAGGGAGAAGCATTAGCAATGAGAAGGAAGAGTCAGGGGGAAGCCGGTTGGTTACAGGCCTGTGTATGAGCTAGAACTTTATGGAAACAGTCATGTGATACCATCAGACGTATGCTTTGCAAAGAACACTCGCTGGAGTGCAGAGTTGGGATGGCAGCGTGCAGGTCAAAGTGGAAAGGGAAGACCCTGCTAGTCATTCAGGTGGCCTAGACCAGGATGGGAGATGATTCACCTAAAAGGCACAGTCCACAGAACTTGCTGACGGATTGGACGAGCACGGAGAGACCAAAATGAGGCCCAGGCTTTGGCTGGAGGAGAGGCAGAGAATTTACCAGGGACCGGCACACAAGACAGGCAGGCTCCAGGGACGGGTTCTGAGCTCAGTTTTGGAGAGATGGACTTGGAGGAGTTCAGAGGGCACAGCCGGGGAAGATGCTTCAGAAAGAGTCTACTGCAAGGAATGGGAGTCCCCCACCCTCCCTTTACCCAAGGAGGATAAACTATTAGACAAGAGGGTAAATTCTGAGACAACCCTTTTTCTGAAAACTCCAAGTATCCTGGAAAAAAAAAAAATCAGGGCTTCCAGAAAAATCGACAGGCGGCAGCAGCTGCGCATGCGCGGTGAGAGTACGGCTGGTGGGGGAGGGGGGACGACCTCACTCCACGGGGAGGGCGGAACTTCCGCTGCGGCCGGAAGAAGCTTTTCTCTTCAACGACGAGAATGTGGGCAACATGGCGGCGGTACGTGGTCCCCGTTTGCTCTACCGGAATTTGAAGCAGTTACACAAAAACAGAAAGCTGCTCTGCAGCCTCCCGCCTCCGCGGCCCTCACTCTCCGGCTGGAGGACGCCGTGTGTGTTGCTGTGCGGGTCCCTCGGGCCTCTCACCCCAAAGCTGCCTCCGGCTTTTCTCCTCACCCCGAGGCCAAGTCCGGAAGGGCCTCGTGGTTCTTCCTCGTGGACGCTCCAAGCTTCATGTTTTCTTTCCAGGGACTGAGCGAACACTGAGCCATGGAAATTCTGGACAAGGTGCGTAGGTAATTTCAGTGTTTCTAGTACATGCGTTTTTAAGTGAAAAATTAAATGTGAAATTAATAGTAACGTATATATGCTGCTGATCAGATACATTTTGAAATTATCAAGATAGTTTATAGTCTTTATGTGTGTGTGTATGTGTGAAAGAGAAAAATCTTTAAATCTGATGTGTATTTTATGCTTGAACCATGTCTCCATTTGCACCGACCACATTTCGAGTGCTCTGTAGCCACATGTGGCCGTGGGTGGTGGTAGCGGGTCTAGACCTTCCAGTCCAGGGAGCTCATAACAGCAGTGATCAACTATCGCTGACATGTACTGAGCCCTGGCTGAATACCAGGGACCATGAAAAGCACTTTATGTGCAGTATAATGGGGATAAGCACAGATTCCTAGGCCTCAGTCCTGGCACCAGCACTTACTAAATTAGGCCGGTTGTTTAACGTCTCTGTGCCTCAATTTCTGGCTGTAAAGTGGAAATGATAATGATACGGTCCAAATGTTTGTTTCCCCCCCCAAAATTCATATGTTGAAAACCTAACTCCTAAGGTGCTGGTATTGGGAGGTGGGGACTTTGGGAGTGATTAGGTAGTTAAGGCGAGTCCTCACAAGTGGGTTAACGCCCTTTTCTATATAAAAGAGGCTCCAAAGAGCTCCCTTGTCTCCATGTACCACATGAAGACACAATGAGAAGCTGGCAGTCTGCAACCCATAAGGCCTTCAGCAGACCCCAAGCATGCTGATGCCTTGATCTTGAACTTCCGAGCCTCTAGAAGCCTGAGAGATAAATTTGTTGTTTCTGAGCCAGCTGGACTAAGACAAGTTGTTTCTGTACTTTGCTAGAGACAGCCAGCTGGACTAAGACGAGCGGTAATACACAGCTAGGGTTGCTGAGGGAGTTTAGTTAGCAGGTGTTCAAATGGTGCCTAGAACAGAGCCCGCCGTAGTCTGTATGTGCTGTAGAGATTTTTGCGATTACTCTTGTCCTAGATCACACAGCTTTCAAAGAGGGCACTGTGATGGACTTTGAAAACTGTCCCTTGGATTTCCAGTTGGAAGCTCTTGGTGACCCTACCAAGGGCAATTGATTTGAATGGTGATGAAAAACCAAAACCGGTCTGCTCTGGGGGAGGTGGGGAGGTGAGTAGGCAGTGACGTGAAGATCTCCATTTTCATTTAGTATCCATGGTTCCTTTAAAACCCAGACCAGAAGCACCCTTTGGGCACCTGCCTTATCTGCACTACCATAAATTGAACATCTGCAAGTCTCACTAACACCCTTCACAATACTGTTCAGTAGCACTGGGTGACTGTCATCAGCGAGCACAATTGAGAGCACCAAGACACTGTAGAGAGAACAGCAAAGGGGCCTCATGGCAGGTACACGTTTAGATAACAGAGCAAGGTAATGGGGGGAGGTGGATAAAAGAGAAGGAAGAATAAAAGAGAGGTGGGTGGATAATGAGGTATTGCTCCAGTTGCTAAGTCCTGGCCGTCTGTGGCCTGTGCCTTTTGTTCACAGTACATCTAAGAAGACGCTTAATAATCTTAGAAATGACTACCTTTTATTAACTTTTTATTTGGAAATAATGATAAAGTTATATAAAAGTTACAAGAATAGTGCAAAAAGTTCCCAATATTCTTTACGCAAATTCACCGATTGCTAGCATTTTGCCCATTTACTGTATATTCTCTCTCTGAACCATTTGAGATTAAATTGCTTACATCATGTCCCTTTATCCCTAAATACCTCAGTGTTCATTTTCTAAGAAAATGGACCTTCTCTAATATAATGGCAATACAGTTATCACATTCAAGAAGTTTTATATTGATACAATAATCTTACCTAATCTACAGTTAGAACCGGGGGAAAAATGAAAGAAAAGGCAGAACCAGAGGGCAGATGAATAATGAGTGTTGCTCCATGTTCCAGCTTCACTGTCTCAACTTCAGAGCGACTTTTTTCTGGTCCAGTATCCAATCCGCTATCATGCTTTGCATCTAGAAATAACTTTTTCTTTATCAACTTGAACGTTTTGGACTTTCAGCACTAAATATCCAATGGCCTAGTTCATAGATGCTAGGAATGTAGTTTGAATGGAGGTATCTTAGAAATAGCAGGGATGTTAGGGTTGAAAAGAGAAAGAGCCCAGGAAAGGTAGAGCTGAACAGCTCATGTTTGCAAACCATTGTAAGGACCGAAGATGGCACAGCTGAGTCCTTGGGGACATGTGCTGAGTGACCTCTTTGTTCAGGTACATGACATTACCTGAGGTCACCTAAGTTACCCCTCTGTTAAGGTACTGAGGCGTTAGGATACAAGTCTAAATAAACTGACCCCTGCCTGCGAAGAGATGACAGATTTCTTCACTATGAACACAGATCGCTTCAGTACAAGGTGGTAAATGATGTAAACTCCAAGACCACTGTGCTTACCTGCAGCATCATAGTGGGCCCCTGGTTCATTTCATTCTGGATACTCGGTGGCTCAAAAGCCTTTGGCGTAAGTCTCGCGGCCTCAGCTCTGCTGCTTACTACCGCAGAGCGCTAGCTTCTCATCGTAGTATTTGGAGGGGCTTCTTGTCATGTCCCCAGCTGTGTCCTGAGTCCCAGATTCCTTCTTCCTTCTTTCGGCCTGTTCTTTGAAACCTCCCTCCCTGAATCAATTCTATTTGGATCAGGCTCTGAGTTTCAAAAAATCTAGGCTTAGTCAGCCCAGCTCAAATAAAGGGCACAGATAACAACTGAAGTCCTTCAGCAATGTAAGGATGGCCCAAGACAGCTCACGGACAGTTTCAGCAAGGAATTAGAAAACTACAAGGAAGAATATGGAACTTCACGGTTGAGGGTAGGTGTCCAAAAACATTGACAAGTGTCAAAGGGAGTTCATGCTAATGTAAAAATTCCAGCTGAATTTTTTAAATATTTCCTTTGTCTTGTGAGAAACCAGAAAATCATGAGTCCTTTTTGCTCGTAAAGAAGAACATTGCTGAAGAGGCATTTTAGCCTTTATCTTACATCTTTTTAGATTGCACGTGGAGTGATTTGGGTGGCATGTATTTCGTGATGGAATTTCTATCTTCGTTTCTACCAGACTGGGTCTTCTTGATGAATCATCAGGAGGAGAGAAGCTGAGTTCCGATGCTTCCTGCTGGCACTACAAGTCTGCACAACTGAAACAAGTGTTACCCTGGTAGCAGGGTGCCAGGGAAGAGGAAATTACAAATATAAAATGTCAGTACTCCTCATGTTAAGTGGTGTTGGTGCAAATAATACAATCAAGCATCATTTGTCTGATGTCGTTTTGTTCGATGTGCCATGGTCATTTTTCAGGAAGCTTAAGTTTGTAGTAAAATGACAAAACTTAGCAAGTACTGAGCATAAGGAGGGGACTGACTCTCAGCACAAGAGAGACTTGCCTTTGCTTGGGGATGGAAGTGCTCCATCTTGGTCGTGGTGTTGGCTGCACAGCTGTAAACATCTGTCCAAAGTCATGACACTTAACACTGCTGAAGGGTGAGTTTTATTGTATGTAAATTCTACCTGAATAAACCTGACTCTTAGAAGGAGGGGAAAGTAACTAGGACACAGTCAAGAGAGTGAAATGACAACCTACAGAATGGAGTGTTTGCAAATCATATATCTGATAAAAGTCTAGTTTCCAGAATATATAAAGAACAATTCAACAACAAAAGACAAATCGTTTTAAAGTAGGCAAAAAAAATGGTGGTTCCTTAAAAAGGTAAACATAGAATTACCATACGACCCAGCAGTTCCACTCCTAGGTATATGTACTCAAAAGAATTGAAAACCAGCAGACAGAAAGTTTGCACGTAAATGTTCACAGCAGCACCAGTCACGATATCCAGAAGGTAGGAACAGCCCAGATGCCCTTCAGCGGCCAAATGGACAAGCGTGCTGTGGTCAGCACACACAGCGGGGTGCTGCTGAGCTGTACCAGGGATTAAAGCACGGGTACGTGCTACTCCATGGGTGAACCTCAGACACGCGCCAAGTAAAGAAGCCACATGCAAAAGGTCACATATTACGTGATTCCATTCATATGAAATACTCAGAATTTAAAAATCCACAGAGACAAAATGCAGATTGGTGGTTGCCAAGCCCAGAGGAAGGGGAGAAAGAAGAGTGACTGCTTAGTGGGCACAAGTTTTCCTTTTGGGATAATGAACATGTAGACAGAGGTGGTGGTTGCACAACATTGGGAATGTGATAAATGCACCAAATTGTTTGCTTTAAAATGGTTAATTTCATGTTATGTGAATTTCACCTCAATAAAAATTTTTTGAATGTTTTAAGGAAAAAATTACGGCATTATTGATAGTAGTTTTTCCAAAGTATGTTGTGTTCTTCCCAGCTTTCGTTCTTACAGTATCATTGAGAACTATGGTGGGGTCTCGACTGGGACCCGTTCCAGAGCTCTGAGCTGCCAGGATGGTTGACGCTGATGAGTAGCCGTGTTTGCCTGAGAACCCAGGAGACCCCTGGGGAGAAGTAGCAAAAAGAAACAGTAGGACTCTAGGTCCCTGGACCGTGGAGATGGTGTCTTTTAAAGAGAGGGGACCGATGCCCCAGCTGCTGACTGTCTGTGAAACTCACAAGGCCAGGCATTCTCCAGCTGGGAGGGCTCTGCGTTCCTCTGCACTGACCAGGCACCCGAGTTGACTCAAACTACAATTGTTGTGGTCCTAGGCAGCACCCCTCAAATGCCCTTGGAGCTGCCCCCTGCGAATTTGTTGCAAGTAACATGGTAGAAGGAACTGAAGAACTTTAAAAATAACTGCACCTACGGTTGGGCAGTGAGCAGAGCTCTGTGAGCACTCCAAAGCCACGCTGGCTGAGGTGAGTGGAGGGAGAGGCGTCTCCTGCAGGGACAAAGCCAGGCCCCGGCACTGGACGTGCACCTCAAGAGGAGCTGTGAGAACAGAAGCAGGTGAGAGGCAAGTAACAGTGGTCCCCAGTCTCCAGTCTTTGAAGCAGTGAGAAGAGTGCAAAATTGTCCTGGCACCAAGCCACCTAGAGCCTAAGAAACTGGGGAGACACCAGGACCACCAAAGGCTTGTTTAACTGACTGGCATCTAAGAGGAAAGCAAGAAGACCAAGGAAGAGTGGGCTCCAGGGGCAGGGCCCGGTGGGATCTCAAGTGATGGCCATTGCTCACGACTGTATCTTGGGAAGATTAGGATCCTCAAGACAGGTTCCCCTCAAGTGTCAGATCAGCCTGGAAGGAGTGGAAGGAGTGCCTCGTTATACCCCTGGGCTCCACTTGACCCTGGATCAGCTAGGATGAAGACTCAGAAGGAATATGTATCCAAGCTGGACGTAGCCCAGAGATGGAAAGAAACGCTTATCCTTTGATGAACAGAACAAGTCAAGATTCAGAAGGGGTTTCACAGGTGGAAGCTGGACCAAAATTAAGAAGAAATGTAACAGGAATGAATGTAAAGACTCAGATTTCTTTTTCTTTTCTTTTTTAAAATACAGTTAAAGGATAGCAGCAGAAATGGTATGATGTGCCCACTAAGTGCTGGAAATTTGACTGGCATTGTTTCCTCTCATCCTCACAACAGTCCTGTAAAACAGCAAATAGGAAAACTGAAGCCCCAAGAGGTTCAAGGAATTTGCTTAAAGTTACATACTGTAAATGTGAGGCAAAGCTACTCTAGGTCCGCAGACCTCCAAAATCCATTCTCCTGTTTTCCACAAGCAGTCCAATAGAATAAACCTTAACCTAAGCACAGTTCATGTAAGAAGGACCTGGGGCTCCACTTGACCATAAGTTTTTAAAGATTGTGTAGACTGAAGGCTACATCAATTGAAATACAGGGTCCAAAACCTCAGGGATATAACCATCCCCCTGTACTTCAAGACTCCGTTGGAGCATTTGAGTCCCAGGCTTGAGAAGGAACTGAGTGCCTCAGAGTTGACTGATCAGTCTCACAGTCCCTCTGAAGACTGACTTGGATCCAGAATCCAGGAATCTTAACCAACAAGAACAACCCCTGGGGAAATCTTAGAAACGAGGCGCCCCCTGGTGGTCCTCTTGACCAGGGACCATGGCCCATTCCGGAGTATTCTGTTCACCTACTGGGATGCACCAAACAATTCTTTTTATCTCTATTTTTTAAATTATGTTTTCATCGTTGAAATTATTTTCATCTTAGCCCTTGTGATTAGTATGTTGTATTTCAGAAACTATTTTTATATACTTATTTACCATTGCGTTCCAAGTTCAAAACTTGGTAGTAGAATTAAACCTAGAATTAAAATTTCAGCTCTTTACCATGAGTTTCTCATGAAGAAACAGCAACAACACAGCAAGAGAATCCAAGCCCATCTCCCGCTCAATGGAGAACTTTTCGAGCTTTATTTAAATTAACATTGTAAGGATGCTTTTGATGGGGAATGTTTATTTCACAAAGAAGAGGATGAATACATTACAGGGGAGGTTAATCATTTCCTATAAGTAATTTATGTTATCTTAGCAGCCTTAGGGTAGTCTTCAGCTCTGAATGAGTATTTTGTTATTTATATTATCCATTGTATGGCCTGTTTATTCTCTGTGAAAATAACTTGCAGAGTTTTTAGTTCCCGTGAATGATTTTGCTTATTTGCTTTTGAGCATTGATCAGCCACAAGTTCTAAAATAAACATGTAATGTATTTTGAGTTTTAAAAAGCAAAGAGAAGCAAAATTGATTAATTTGCCAATCTGCTACCATCAGTGAATCTTTAAGTACATATAAATCATCACAATTCTGAATAATTCTTTAGGTTAATGGTTGGTAAACTTTCTATAAAAGGCCAGAGAGGAAGTATTTTAGATTTTGGAGGCCAGAGAGTCTCTGCCACAGTTACTAGACTCTGCTGTTACAGCAGAAAAGTTTTCAGAGACAATATGTAAATGAACAGATGTGGCCATGTTCCAATAAAACTTTATTTACAAAACCAAGTGGCAGGCCAGATTTGGCTTGCATGCCATAATTTGCTAACATAGTGAACAGTTTTTCTTGATTGGCGCCTTCCATTTTGGAAAACAATTCTGGAAAATTCATACTAAGAATGCCTAGTAATGATGCAGACTTCTCAATTCTGTTCCTTTGTAATAGTATTTACTTGGTGTTTTCCTGATTTTTATTGAAAAATATAAAGAAATGTATTAAATCTTAATATTTTGACCGCATCTGAGTAAGTTACAATAGTTATACCTTGTCACATGGTATGTAAGTCACCTTTATAGATTAGTTACAAAAATTTACCATCCCATTGTTTTTGGTTATTATTATCTGGCCAGCCTCCTAACAGACATGGAAATGATGAAAACATCATTCTCTTCTACTTGTAGAAATTCTTGCTCTCCCAGGCATATGGTCTGGTTATTATTTCAAAGTTTTAGACAAGTACTTTTTTTTATATTTTCATTCTAATGTCTGTCTTGTTCTATATAAAATCATGTAAAGAATTCTGTGAATTTTATTAGAAGGGTTATAAGCTTTGTGGCTGATATATGCCTACATTATTTGGATTTAATTTAATTAGAGTTTTAAAGAGAATGCTGTAAAATCAGATTTAGTGTTTTTATGTTATTTGAAATTTGTTTTCCATCCATTTCACGGCACCAGTAATCAAGGATCTTATTTTTGAAAGAAGTTTATATAGCTATATTTTGATGTTTTAAAAATTGTCTAGAGGATAAGAACAAAGGGAAAATAATCAAGATTTGTGCCTTTTGTGGGGACAGGGTACAACTCCACAGTAGAGTGCGTGCTTAGGGTACACAGGTCCTGGGTTCAATTCCCCAGTACCTCCATATGAGTAAATACCTAATTACACCCCCCTGTCCTAGGAAAAAAAAATTAAAAATAAAGTAAAAAAATTTTTTTTAATTTGTGCCTTTTGATTTTTTTTAATGTTTCAGTTAATGGATTTTTAGCTGAATTTTCCTTTATAAGATTTTCATTTTGAACTGTACTTTTCCCTCATGAATAAACTGGAATATCTTTATTTTGAGTTTATATATTGCTGAATGACCCAGTTTCTTTATGAATCTTACAGGTGGGGTGTTGAAGTAATCTTGTGTATCAAGCAGAATCATTGTTAAATGCAATTATGTATTCATTTTGCCCCAGAAAACCTCCAGCCTGACTACTCTTTGACCAGACAGCTATCAACCATGATCTGTCAACAGCGGCTGGAGATCCAGAAGACACAGGTTAGAATATCTTAATCCTAGCTTTCTCTTTTCTCAACAGCTAATGGGATTTCACTGGAAGAAATTTGGCAATGAAGTGAATAGGAGAAAAAGGGTAATTTTCCCCATGTGTGAATTAAGCCTGACAATATAAGGCAGGTCCATGCTTTCCCTTTCTGTTAGAACTTTAATTTCAGCATATGTGTGTAACTTACAAAGCTGACCATGCAGCCGTGAATGTCCTAGCAGAAGGGAAGGAGTTCTAGAGCTTTCTGTCGTCTCATCGCTACAGGCAGGCATCCTTTGGTTTTCTAGACCCAAGTAGGGATAAGAAGTCAACTCAGTATCCCAAGGGAAGCCTAAACAGAAGGTTAACCCTGGTAAGAAGCCAGCACTTGTCTTAAGGCCCCAGTCTCTATGTCCCGGTGTCCAGAAGCAGTTCCAGAACCAGCAGAAGTTTTGACTGCTACCAGAGACATGGGGATGACTGCCAGGGATGACGCAGCGCCGCAAGACCGCCAGCTGGTTTACTCGGTGCTCAGCTGTCAGAGCAAAGACTGTTCCACTTTCTTTTGAAATACTTTACAAATACAGTGTGATGAAAATGATAATATGCCTAAGAAGAAACATTAGAAGTTGTTTTAATGGAGCACTGAAATAACGGTAGCTGTTTCATTTTAAAAAACAGATAGCATGAACCGTTGGGTGTACAGCTACAGATCCGTGTGCCCCGCCGGGCCAGGCAGCCTCTCCAGGCTGTGGTCTCCACCAGCTCCGGTCTGGAAACCCTGCCAGGGACGCGGGCCCCTCTTCTCTCAGGGCACGTATTGGTTTTGGCGGAGATGTGGAACCACCTAGCCAGGTGAAGCAATTAACGGTACATTTCTTAAAACATTAAATTTCAAATGATTTTAACTAGGAAATATACTCCCGAGTTCAGCATCGTCCAGACTTCCCTCATCTACACCCACCTTTACAATTTTTGCTGTGTCCCTGTATCATTATTTACTTTACATTTTTCCATTACTGAATTTATTTATTTTACCTAAGTAGATTTGTTTTAAAAGAGAGCTTTGTGAAATTACCGTGGGTGGAAAAACCAATATCACTCACCTGGAACAGAAAGTCACCCTGTGAAATGACTGAGTAGCTGTCAGGTGTGCAGGCCCATCACGCCCATTTTGTTCCTCTCGTCTCCTGCCTGGCTCCAGACCACACTGCCTGAAATTCTACTAAGATGAAAGCCCCTGCGATAAACATAAGAACCTGCCGTCTGAGGACTTCATTCTCCGGAGTTAGAATGGCCTGACTGGGGGCCGTAACCCTTACCGTGGCTGTGGGCTGCTTTGGGCACAGGGCCTTCGGAGTCCCTGCTTTCCACCTAATATTCTTGGAAGCCCTGTTCGTCTACCCCTGTCGGGGGACCAAATCCTCCTCTCCCCATGGTCGGACCTTACCCCACACCCGCAGCTCTCCTCTGGCCAGTACTCTTCCCCGCGTGTCCCCTGCTATCTCCAGCCTCTCTCTCTACTGACCTTGATCTGGGCTACAATAATTCTTCCCTGAATTCTCCTGGCTTGGGACATCCTTTGAAGCTCATGCATGCCATCCACCCCAAGGATCTTGCAAAGAGATGTCAGGTGTGAAGGCCCAGGGGCTGCCCTGTCCTCCACAGATAACTGAAGGTGCTCCCAGAAAAGCCTTAATTTCTAAATACCAGGTGTTTCTGGGCCTTCCTGCCCATCTCACGCCACACCTCTCTTTAGCACTTGTGTCCTGTGAGCCAGGTTTTCCTGAAGCATCTTCTGCATGTATTGAACATTTAGGAAGCCCATCCTGTGCTCTTAATCCTGTCCCTCCATCCATCCTCTTCCCCACTGAGGTGGGAAGTCCCCAGGAACCTACCCCTGGTCCTCAGCGCAATCCTCTCCCTCCTCTTGGCAGGCAGATGTCATTTCCAGTTTTCACCACATCTGAGCTCAAGCAAGTTATTTAAACTTCTTGGACCTCAATTTTCTTATCTATGAAGTGGGGATAATCCTGGTTCCTAGATCAGTGGGCTGTTTAAAGGTGTGGATAACTTGGTGCATGTACAGCACTTAGGATGACGCCCAGAACTGGGTGGATATTCAGTAGATGTTAGCTGGTACCCACCTGCCATGTGTGATACACAAGTCTGCATGGCCTGCACTTGACCCTGGGAGAGGCCCTCACGTGCGTTTCCAGATTCTCTCAGACTCCTCCTCCCAACGCTAGCGTTCAGCACGTATGTACCAACTGCTTCCTGGGTGTTGCTGCTACTGAGTGTCTCACTTAAGGCCTGAGGGCCGGGCCAGTGGCACTCAGCCTCCCAGCACTGAGCGCCTTGCCTTAAATTCTCGGTGGATGAGTGGGTATCAGCCTCTGCCAATAAGAAAGAAAATCAGGCATCAAGAGGAGGCTTCCTGATAACAATTAATACAACATCTAGACAAATAATCACGCTATAGACAGAAGTTTAAAGAGTTGCAGTAACTGCACAAGTAGAAAAGGGGAAGATTTCAAAATGCATTGGAAGAGCTCATGCTTCCATAGACTAACTCAGCCTCTGAGTAGTGCAGTTACAGGTCCCGTAATTTCCCTGCTTCTGCATTTTTACCAAGTTTTCTTACAGCATGAAAATACAGGCGTTTCCATTTGGACAGATTTAGCAGCGATCTGAAATAGCAGTAGAAAAAGGGCATATTTTATTTCCTTCTGGTTAAATTGGTCTATTTTAATATACTTTATGAATAAAAGAAAGAGCTCTTATTAATGATGTTAAGGAAATTATATTTTTATTAGATTATATTTTATTAAATGCAGTTTGTGAATTTATTTTCTTGATGTATTTCTTGTAAGTATATTTCTTCTGAGTGCATTCAAAACCCATGTAACTTAATTGTGTTACTATAATTGCCTCAATATCATCTCAACTAAGAGGTAGAAGTCTTTGCACAGAAGCACAGCAGAGCACTTCAGAGCGCCTGGGTGTTTGTTCTGCTGTTGTATCCGGCTTTTCACTGTGTTGTTATGTCTCACAGGACGTAATTTGTCGAGTAATACAGATAAGCTCTTGTAAAAGTTATCCAGGTCATTGCTGGGTTCTGTGGAGGTACTCTGTGAGTCCTGGGACCTAATCCTGATTTTTTATTCCTGTTTTTACTGTATTACCTTTACTTTTTTCTTAATACAAAGTATTACCTGCTAATTATGCGATATTTGGAAATACAGATAATGAAGGAATTCAGTCAATTAGATCCTCACCACACAGACCCCTAAGTCCCCCTACTGAGCAAGGAACTACCACTGTTGACAGTCTTTGTGTAACCATACATACTTCAATAATTTTTTTAGCAAGTATGATAATAAATTCATGTATTCTCTGTCTTCTTACCTACTTTCCCACTTTTTTCCCACTAAACACGGTCAGCATTTCCCTTATCATGAGATACTCTTCTCCATCACCATTTTTTTTTATTGAGGAAAAATTTACATAACATAGTTAACCATTAACCATTTACTATTTTAAAAGCAGGCAGTTCAGTGGCATTTAGTGCATTCGCAACATTGTGCAACCATCACCTCTGTCTAGTTTCAGAGTATCTTCATCACCCCAAAAGGAAACCCTGGGCTCTGTAAGCATTCACTCGCCGCCAGCCTCCTCCTCCCAGCCCCTGGTGACCACTAGTCTACTGCCTGTCCCTATGGATTTGCCTACTCTGGACATTTCATATAAACAGAATCATACCATGCGTGGCCTTTTGTGTCTGGCTTCTTTCACTTAGCATCATATTTTCAAAGTTCATACACATTGTAGTGTGTTATCAGTGCCCCATTCCCTTTTGTGGCTGAAGACAACTCCATTGTTTGGGTGGACTGCAACTTGTTTGCCCATTCCTCTGCTGGCGGACATTTGGATTGTTTCTACCTTTTGTCTGTGAACAGTGGTACTATGAATGGACGTTCCAGTGTTTGAGTCCCTGTTTCAATTCATTTGGGCATATACCTAGGAGTAGAGTTACTGGGTTGCATAATAATTCTGTTTAACTTTTTGAAGAACCACCAAACTCTCTTCCACAGGTGTGGACCCATTTTACATTCCCAGCAGCAGTATCTAAAGATTCCAGTTTGTCCAGTCCTCACCACAGTGTGTCGTTTCCCAACTTTTTGATTACAGCCCTCCTAGTGGGTGTGAAGTGGCATCCCACTGTGGGTTTGACGTGCACATGCCTCCCAGCCTCATCTTTAATGTCTGCAGGCCATGCCGTCGTGTAGGGTGTATATTCCTAGCGTTCTGGTGGTAGATGTGTAATTAATAATAATTTTCTGTTTTTATAAACAGTGCTGTAGTGAACATCTTCCTACCACAGTCTTTAAACAAATTCATTATTATGTCTTTAATATATATTTCTAAAAGTGCATTTGTTGGAACAAAAATAAAGCTAAGGCTTTGGACATGTATTGACAAGTTGCCTTCAAAAATAGATCAGCTTTATACTTCCTGCCATATCTGACCTCTTTCTTGTAAGTTACTCATTTCTGCCAAAGTATGTAACAGGCTTTTGGAAGAAATTACTGCCTGCGTTAAAACCTGCTGGTACTAAGCCTTTAGAGATTTTTGTCACTTATTTTCACATACGGATTTTTCCCTATCCTTTGCTAAAAAGGATAATCATTACTGTGTTTTAAACGTGTCTGAGAGATACGACACTTTCTTAAATGTATGTAAAAAGCCCTTTATCAGGACAGCTCAATTTATGAACAGTCGAGTATAACTTTTGGGTTGTCCAGGTTCAGTAATATGGCTTGAGCAATAACTCGTCGATTAAATCCTAAAACTAGGTATTTCATTTGTTCAGTCAGATGCCACTCCTGAAACCCCATTATTTCTGCTCTCTAGAGGCAGTACCTGCTCTTCCCTCTGCTGTGTGACCATCGTAATGTTGGACGTCTTTAATTTTTTGTTGAGGCGATGGTGGTTTATGTATTTTTACCTTCAGGACAGTGAAGCTCCTCTCTGGTGATGACCTGATTTCCCTTCGTGGAACATAAAGTAAACTAGTGCATGGAGTTGATAACTTGTGTCACTCTTTACCAAAGAAGTGCTATTTCGTGCAGCTTGAAAGTTCTACACATAATTAGGGAACTGAGGAAAAAATATTCTGTGGACAAGATGAATAGCAATTTTGATGTTTTGTAATTTTTTAATTTATTTTTGTTGTTTCTAGGATATTAAGAATAAGTCACACAGCAGGAATCTGGATGCACCCACTTCCAGAAAAATTAATAACTGTGAACTGTGATATTTTGTCCAGCACGTTTTTCACTGGAACAGGTTTCTGTCTTTTCGAAGCCTGACTCAAGAAAGCTTATACGACAGAAGGAAGGGCAGGCCCTGTTTTTGAAGGAAAGTGTTGTTACTGCTTGCGGAGCGTGCAGGGGACAGAGTCGGCTGAACTATCTGAAAGCATTAAAATAGCTAGTTGGTGAAGACTGGGAGAATCTGAAAGGTGTTCAAGAGGGGAGCCTTCAGCCTAGATGCGTGGCACAGACAGTCATCATGGTCCTCATGAACAAGTCATTTCTGCCCTAGGAAGAACAGTTCTGATTCAGTGTGAGAAGACAAAGTGATTTATAATTCATACTCCCAACATATTAGCATGCTGTGGGAGCACTGCTTCCAAGTGTCACAACTGGTCTTTATCTCAGAACAGAAATATCCCAGACAGAGCCAAAATACGAGAATATTTATTACAGTTCATTAGTTTCAACCACTGGGACCTAATTAATAACTCTCTAGCTAATGACTATTTTCTGGTTTCTATTCTAAAACAGTTCCCTCCTTATTAGTACTGAAATAATGAACAATTTTCATTCTCTGCATTTGGGTTTTATTAAATGTTTAAGGTTTCTAGTCTTTTGTGTTGTTAATACGGAGTTTGTCACTTAGATTGTATAATCACTTAAGCTGTTTCTACTCACGCAAACCATTTAGATTTTTTTAGATCAATTTATTCAGAAAAGGCTCATGTGTTTTTGAAAAGAATCTCTTCAACCTGCTTTTAAAAATCGTGGTTGACAAAAGCAAAATTTCTTCCTTATCCTAGTGGACGTTGCCTCCTCTCCCTCCTCCTCCCCCTTTCACTCCCATCTTCTCTCCCTCTCCATGCTCTCTCCATTCTGATAATACCCTTCATGTCCTGGTGAAATTCTCCATTGTAAGGTCCCTGCCACTCAGAAGGGAGCCAAGACGGGATGCAGGTGTATCCTCTCCCCATTTCCCAGCTGCCAGGATATGGGCATATACTAGGCTTAGCCTACTGCATGCTCTTGTCCATAGCTTTGAAATTTTAGGGAGTGGCCCTAACAAACAGGGGCACCTACAGGTCATTAAGCATGGTGGCCAGTGCACGGACAGACAGATGCCACGAGGGGAGACCCAGCCAGACCCTCCTGATGGTGTGCTCTGGATGTTCTTGGCTTCCTGGCCCTGCACACCTTGCTCACATCCCAGGACTATTTTACCAGCCTTCTCATTGGTTCTGTGAGCTGTTGATATCCCTCCAATAAATTCCTGTCCTCTCAAGTTAAACAGAACCAGCTGTGTTATTGGTAATCAGAACCCCTGATTGATATAATGTATATCTCAGCTTAAACTTGAGATGCAGACCTTGGGCTTGTCACTGATTGAATCTATTAATAGAAAATAAATTTGAAATTCAAACTCAATAAATATTTGTTGAGGAACAATTCAGTGTAAGGCGTTATTCTGAGGAATGAAGAAAGGCTAAAGATGTCTTCAGTTTGTTTTTCTTTGGACCCCAAATGTAGTGAGGACACAATACATCTGATCACACTATGGGGCAGATCACACCAAGTCCTGCAGTTGAGGTAGAAACCAAGAACTGGGGGCCCCCAAGAAAGGGGAAAAGCACTCTCACTTGACTGATCCAGAAAGACTTTCTGAAGAAGATGAGACCTGAGTTGGGCCACATCCCTCTAGGTTTGTCAGAAAGCACCACCGCATGTTCTGTTGAGGACAGTGATGTGCTGAGAGCTCGTGGGGAGAGGTGGGGAAAAAAAACCCAAAACCTTTGACATGGCAGAATAGTACATCAGGGAACTCTTGAGCTGAAACTCCAGTCTACCTAGGAAACCACTGGAAACAGGATAATCTCTGCCACAGGGTGGACACCGTGGTCCTACGTCACTGCTTCTTCCCGGAAGTACCCGGCCCCCTTCCTGCCTTCTCTGAGCTGAGGGCAGAAGTGCCCGATGAGACCAGCTGTCCAGTGTCCTTGTGAAGAAGGAAACCTTCTTCCTACTGAAAGACAAAGTGAAGCTATGAAAATGCCAGTCATTCCACTAAAAAATACATAGTTGGTTTCAGTGCAGGTCTTTCTCACCTTCGGCTGAAGGCTGAGGGGACCGTTCCTGTGCCATTAACTCCTTTTGCTGGTAGCACTGGCATTGTTTCCAAAGTCCTCAGAATTCCCCCCTCCAAGTCTGAGTACTCTTTTCATGCTGTACTGGCTCCCCGCAACATTAAAGACACAAATGAAAGAATCAGAAAAACAGAGCATGAGAAGTTTGAGTTTCGTTATGACTACCCTGTGCTCTTGGACCTTAAGCCTCTCATTTCAGCTGACCACTTTATATTTGAGCAAGGTAAAAATGAAGCCACTTCTCAACTCTAATTTCCTATAGCAAAGGATAGAAATATTTTGGAATAATTTGCAAATTGCTACCGTATGTTCCAGGGACCAAGAGGAGGTATTTGATAGTCTATATTTTTAAATTTGATGTGTTACATCTAAAAATTCATTTACTTGGAAGATCTTAATTTCTTTCATAGGGTAAAAAAAAATGTATATGTTTGCTTTAAAGGAAAGCCGTTCCAACTAAGAACGTGGGTTCTACAAATCCAGACACAGCGGAGATGTAGGCAAAGCTGAAAGATGGAATAATAGAAAGCCAGCACCTAGAAAGTACAAAGACCTGGGTCCCAACCCACTTGCCCCCTTTTATCAGCCCCATGAACTTCCCGCTCTACAAATGGCAAAATTGAGGCTCAGAAGATTAAGGGACCTACTACTGGCAGACGGCGAGGCCCCGCAGAAAGCAAAGCAGTCTGACCCCAGACCTGTGGGTTTCGACCTTTTTACATCCACAGCAGTGCTGGAGCACACGTTCATCTTGAGCTTAAAGGGTAAAAAGACAGATCAAGACTGCATATCGTCCCTGTGACATTTTACATTGTGTAACTGGAAAAAAAATTAGCCACGCAATAGGGGATGGGTGTTCCTCGTCTTTCCCCTTCCACTTTGTCCTCCATTCCTCCCTAGCTCGCTGATGGCACAAGCCAGAACCCTGCAGCATCTCTGATGCTCTCCTACCCCTGGGACAGGTGTGTGCCCGTGTCTAGGCTGTGCACTGCGCCACATCTGAAGGGGTGCAATTCACCGTAGGCTAATTTACATGAGAACACACAGGTGGCACAAAGATTCTGAGCCTCCAGACAAGGCTTGGTCCACCCTTGGTCCACACTTGCACACACTGAGGGCATGTGTATGCACATGTTCTCTGAAACACACGCCCTCAGGGCTGCTTCATCCCTGCTGCATCAAGTCCTCGCTCCCTCGCCTGGCTGGAACCTAACTTGGTGCCCTCCTGAGAGTGGGAGAATGATGGGGACCAGGGCGAGAAGAAGTGCGGGTGCCGCCCCTCCTTCCTCTTACTTCCTACGTGCTCACACACCCCAGCTGTTCAGACCTCAGGTTGCCAGCCCGCCACCTCCACCCCGCACCTGACCCCTCTCCGGAGAACTCTTCCTGCTGGCCAAGGCTGCATCTTTCTCATCCTTCAGATCTCAGATTAAGTGTCACTTTCTCAGGTAGCCAAACCCATCTGCCTCAGTAGCCATCCGCCTCCCTCTCCCCTCCCACACAGCAGCCTCAGTTTTTCAACCAGACTTGTCTCTCTCACGCTTCCCCACAGTTTGTAATTGATAAAGTGTTTGTTTAAAGCCTGTTAAAAAAAAGCTTTCTCCCCCACTGGAGGGTGGACTCCCATGAGCTCAGGTGCTGTGTCATCTTTGTTCTGTGCTGTAGTGGGCACATAATAGGTACCAGGCTGAATGAAGAGATGATCAGAACACTAGGAAGCTCTGAAAGAACCAGCTCTTCGGAGATTCTTACTGTTTCCTCAGAACTTTGTGATTCCTCCATGGACGTTTCTCTCGGGAGAAAAAACTCACGGATGCCCCTTTCACGTGGAGGAAGTGTTTATAATCACCGCAGAGCTGAGTGGTCTGCAGGTAGGACTTGGATGGAAGCTTACCTGCTCACCCTCCTCGCATGAATCCATTCAGCTCCCTGCTCTTTTGTAACTGAAGACAAGAACGCACAGTGCACTTGGTCTCTTTCTAAAGTTTGCCCCTTTGAAGTTTTGCTGCTAAACTAAAATCTCCATTTCCATATTGGAACAGGAAACTGAACTGGAGAGCTCTGACTTTTCACAAAGGTGTT